TCTATTAACATCATTTTGGTGCTGTCATCTTTTGTGCTGTACCAGATTTTGGACTCAATCCAGAAGTACAATTTGAAGAATTGGGGAACTATTGGTTCTTCTGGAATTTACTAGCTTCACTGATGGGCAGAGGGGTGTTTGTGTTTATAAAGGAGAAGGGAGTTTTATGAGAAATATGGGTTGGAGAGAGGGTGGGAACTAGTGTGATGAGAACCGGGCTTGTATTTATCCCCCTGTCCTATTTGAAGGGCTGTCTTTGTGTTCCTAGGGAAAGGGAGTTGAGGCCAGATATCGAGGTGTGACCCTCTGAGTATCTAAGTGGGCCCAGGTGCCTAAGTATGAAGGAGAGAAGGGGCTATTGATTAGGCAGTTCTGAGGCCTCTCAGATACGACTTAGATGACTTTGGGATGGAGCTGGGAGTTTGTTGGTGTTTAAGATTGTGTGTCTTTGTGGCTGCCTGTGGTTTTTGTGGTTTGACAGTTGTGGTCTTTCTCTTGATGAGGTTTGATGCAGTGTGATTATTCTCTTGATTGGCTTTTTCCCAAAAGCAGCCAATTAGTTGAGGTGGAGTTCTCTTAGGAGTGTGGCCTGTATCTAATGTATGAGAGAGTTTGGCAGAGCTGAGTGTAAATGCTAGTCCACAGCTTAGTTCTCATGCTCTCCAGGCTACCAACTGCTGTATGTTCTTGTTAGGTTTGCCTTTCTCATAGCCTTGTTCTGTACCAGGAACTATGAATGGGACTTCCAAACCTCTAACCTTTAACTCTCACCTAGATTCCTACTGCACAATGCTGCCCTCAGATTGGTTAACTCCTAGAGCTAAGTACTATGATTCACATTTTACAGGAGGAAATTGAGGCATAGAAAACTTAAAATATGTGTGGTGTATTATTATTTTTCTGTAGAAGACTCTGGATTTGAAATCAATCTGTTAAAGTCAAGGCTAGCTCTATTTTCCCTTGATCACATGGAATAAACTATAGCATTAATATCATACAAAAGCAAAATATTGCTGAAGATTATCCAAAAATGACTTCAATAGCACATAAGCAGAGAGCTAACAGAAGTACAGGCTGGGTTTAGAAGAGACTGAGGCACTAGGGACATCATTGCCAATGTTAGACGGATCTTGGCTGAAAACAGAGAGTACCAGAGGAATGTCTATGTGCTTCATTAACTATGCAAAGGAATTTGACTGTGTGGGTCACAATAAATTGTGACTAACATTGAGAAGAATGAGAATCCCAGAACACCTGTTTGTGCTCGTGTGAAACCTATACTTGGACCAGGAGACAGTCTTCAGAACAGGGCAAGGGAACACTGCATGGCTCAAAATCAGGAAAAACATGTGTCTGGGATGCACCCTTCTCCATATCTCTTCAAACTATATGTGGAAAATATCATCCATGAGGCTGGTCTTTATGAGGAATAATGTGACATCAGAATTGGAGGGGGACTCATCAACAACAGGCATTATGCAAATGACACAACCCTGCTTGCTGAAACTGAGGACCTAAGGGATTTGCTGCAGAAGGTCAAGGACTGCAGTCTTCAATATGGACTGAAGCTCAACATCAACAAAGATTCTCACCACTGGGCCAATTGGCAGCACTATGATAGATGGAGAAGAGATTGAGATTGTTAGCAATTTCAGCTTGCTTGGGTCCACAATCAATACTCTTGGTACCAGTAGCCAGGAAATCAAGAGACAAATTGCACTGGAAAAATCTGCTGTAAGGGATCACTCTAGAGTGCTAAAGAGCAATGCTATCAGTCTAAAGACTAATGTGCACAATTACCTGTTATGCATCAGAGAGCTAGACAATGACCAGAGAGGAAAGGAGAAGAATCAATGCCTTTGAGTTGTGGTGCTGGAGAAGAGTATTGAACATACCATGGACTGCCAAGAGAACAAATAGGTCTGTCTTGGAGATGGTGAAACCAAGTTGTTCTCTGGAGGCAAGGATTTTGAAGTTCTATTCTCACATACTTTGGGCATACTGCCAGGAGGGACCAGTCTTTGGAGAAGGATATCATGCTTAGAAAGATGGAGGCACAACGCAGGAAAGGAAGATCCTGGGTAGATTGACACAGTGACTGGTGTGTCGGAGACAGTGAGATTGGCTCAGGATATGACCAGGTTGAGAGCTATTGTACATAGGGTCATTATGTATGAGTCACAGATGACTTGATGACATATAACAACAATAATAATTCATATATATAGTGCTTATCTGTTGGCAAATTTGTTCCCTAATTTCAAAAGATAGATAAGTGATTTGAAAATTCCCAACTCACAGCATTTAAAGAGATTTAATATATTTGTAGTCCACGGAGACACACAGATGAATACATAGCTGCTAAATGTGTGCAATGACATGGTGGAAAAAATTAAATTATAAAAACTTTTACTTCCCATTTACTAAAATTATGTCATAACTAATAGATATGTAAAATATGTAAATCACAATGCACATTTAGTATTAAAAAAGCAAAACATATTTCTGTAGTCTAATAACCAAGTCATTGAACTTGTGATTATTTTTTAACTGCTCAGCAAATTACATAAATGTAAACCAATCAAAAATTTTGTCTAATTTTTCATAACTTAGTATATTAGCAGGAAGCTCTGGTGGCCTAATGGCAAGTAGCTGTGCTGCAATCCCAAAGGCATACAGTTCAAGACCACCAGCTGCTCTGCAGAGAAGGTCAGGCAATCTTCTGCTGTGCAATTAACTGCCTCTGAAAACCTGCCAGAGGATCCGCCATGGTCAGTTCTGACTCTGTGGTATACAACAAGTTTATAAGCACTTTGAGAAGACATTATTTGGAGCAGTCACTCATTTGGTGAATATTATGCTTCTCAACTTTATAACTGTCTGTTACACATGCTGTTGTTGTTGTGTGCCTTTAAGTCAGAACCGACTCGTAGCTGACCCTTCAGCAGGCTTTCAGTGGCAATAAAATGCACAAGAGGAGATTGCCTATCTTCCTCCCAAGAGTGGCTGGTTGATTTGAATCACTTCTTTTGGGTTGGCAGTTCAACTCCTTACCTACTAGGCCACCAGATCTCCCTAATAATGTGCAGCGCAATCTAAAAACAACAGCAGCAGCAATTTGTCCCCTATGTTTCCCATAACATCCCCTTTTCCCACTGCGACGCAATTACCCCATTCCATCACTAATGAGAGATGCAAAGACAATGTGATGTGTGTTGTGATCACGGTGCACTGGTCCACTAACTCAATGGCTTGCATGTGAACTCACCCACTGGAAGGCATGGCAATTTGCTTCCTTAATGATCACAGCTAAGAAAACACTGTAAGCGAAGTTCTACTCTGTAATACTCTGGGCCATCATTAATTAGTTTTGATTAGACAGTAGTACTTTTCTGTGTAATACTGTGGGGAAAATCCCTGTGTGGGGAGAAGGGAGCAACTGATCACCTGACAAACTTGAGGAAGACTTCCAAGAGGAGATGATTTTTGAGTTGGGCCTTGAAGGGGAGCACTCTGGGCACCCAGATTGTGTGGTCCTGGAAGCCACATGGGCACTGAGGCCCCATATATAGGCTCCTTTATATAGGAGAAGTCAGTCCAGGGCTTGTTCAGAATGAGCCAGGCATCCACTGGCTAATGTGGTGACCATGAGTCTCAAGCACTTTCAAATGCTGCAAATGTGACAGAGAAAGTTTAGATTTCCTTCAAATTTAATTAAACTTAGACTTTATTCTGTTATTGCAAAATTTTTATGTCTGAAATCACTGCAAATTATGAAACCTAATTTCAGAACAGCTTCTTTTGATTAGCATTAATTATGAAACCTAATTTCAGAACAGCTTCTTTTGATTAGCATTTAGGGTCTAAATTGAGTGGTGCTGGGTTTTAAAGATGAAGAAAGAACGTACAGTTGTTTGTTGAGAATCATTTTCTACTGATGACATGCTAAAATAGTATTATTTTGGACATACTGAGTTAGACAGACATATCACTAAATACATCTGTTGACCCAATCTAATTTTAAAAACCCACACTAAAATAACAAATCCTGTTACCTTCAAGTAAATTGTTTCGTAGTGATCCCACATATATAGAATAAAACTAAAGCGTTTTTTAGGACTATTTTTGAAAGAGGAGCCTCTGAGCAGGTTGAAATCCCCAGCCTTTTGTTAGCAATCAGTTGTAGAACATTTGTACCAGCAAACACCTCAATGTGGCTGTTCGAAAATGGACAATTATATAGGCGATTACCTTACGTTTCTATTGTAAATGGTGTTGGTGTGAGATCTTGATCCAGTCAGTGGAGTGCTCACACTTGGAAAGGTCCTTCCAGTGAGTTTGCTGGTATAGGGGATCCTGCTTGGAGGAGTTTTTCCCTAGAAAGGTCCCTCTGGGTACATTGCAGAGGCTGGGTGTAAAAGTATGGGCCTGCTGCTGTCACCCAGGTGAAGCCCGGCTTCAGGCTGTAGCCATGGGGAGAGTATCCTTGCATGGAGGGTGCCTTCTGAGGATGCCACTGCCCTGCTTATCTGGCTAGTGGACCTGGGGAGGGCCCCCCCACCTTGACAGCTGGACATTCATGTGTAGGGCAGAGCTCTGGGGGAGTCAGTGTGTCTTTGTACGACTGCTAACTTTTCTGGAAGCCATTCTCTGAGAATTAACCGTACACCTACTGTGAAGACTATAGAAATCCCCCCCAAAACCCCACCCCTAAAAAACAGCTTTATCTGGCCTCCTACATGAGGGGAGAGTGGCAGAGATAGCGCTTTCTCTGTAACTTGCCTTTGGTCCAGATCAGCCTGAGTCGTGTATTTCTTTTTGCTAAAGACTGTGAAGGTTGTCTATGCCTCTTTGGAAGGAGTGGGAAGGTGAAGACAGACTCAGAAGATCTCTTTTCAGGAAAGCTAATGGTGCCAGGAGCAGAAGCTGTCTCCTCTCAAGAACCAAATGCTTGATGAGGCTGACGTGCTCTGAGCCAGGTGGGCCAGGCCCATGCCTACCTTGACTATGTCCTCGTTAATATTCTTGGGGTCTCGGTTCACCAGGTCTATCTCCTTGCAGTGAATGTCCTTGACGATCTGGGCTTCCAGGTCGAGGTCCGTGTTCTCATCAGCCATCATCTAGAGGTTGGTGGGCCCACCGGAGAGATTACACGTGTGGCCAGAAGGCCTGGAAATGCTGGGGCAGAGAGACTAACTAGCTTAGTGTCCCCAGACTTGTGCCCCTGCAGGCTGAACAGGCCCCACCCAGCATGCCGGCTGACAGCTGTCCCACATAACTTCAGCCTGCCTCTCGTTAAAGCTGCCCATGGCAGGCCTCCAAGCTAAAATTAAGGCTGGGGATCTGCCGGTAAGCCAAGAGAGCCTTAAAGGACGCTGCTTCGGGCCTGAGACTCACTCAAGGGGTGTGGTGTTTAGGGACATCTCCAGGGCAGGCATGGTGGGGGTCCTTGTGCCACTGCTACCAATGTGAGTGCTCCTACGAGAAGGGGCTGCAGACCAGGGAGCTGTCTGGACTATGTTATCCTCATCTGTAAAATGGGCCATAATAACAGCAAATGGGGCTCTGCCTACCTTTGTGGGAGTGAGGAAACCAGTGTGCATGAAAGGGGACAGTGTGTGAAAGGGGATAGTGGCATCATTTGTGTTAAGGTCACTCTTCCTTCTCCCTCCTTTGCCACTCCCCTCTTCCTCCCTGCTTGGCCTACATGGACCTCCTGGACTAGATCAGACAAAATCCCAAGTAATCTTTATGACTAATTTTAGTGCTAGAATAATGTGATAAGTAGAGTTGTAAATTACTTACATGTGATTTGTTGTCGTTGTTGTGTACCATCGAGTCAGAACCAAGCCAGAGCTGACCCTCCAGCAGGTTTTCAGAGGCAGTTAATCACATGGGAGGAGACTGACCATCCTTCTCCTGCAGAGCAACTGGTGGCCTCTGTTTGCCTTCAGGATTGCAGTGCAGCTTCTTGCCACTAGGCTACCAATTTTTGTTGTTGTTAAGTGTCGTCGAGTCATAGGCATCTCATAGCGATCCTACGAACGAATGACCTGAACACTTATCTAACTTTCATCCTTTCTCCAGGTTCATAGGATTTCCGGAGGCAAGCCATTTTGGAAGTGGATGCCACTCCTGCTTCCAAGCTTGTTTTTAAGCAGGAAGCTCCAGCAAACACTGTCCACCATGGGTGACCATTCTCACATTGGACACATCAGTATCACAGTGTTCAGCTTCACAGCAACTACAAGTTACCTCTGTACGGCAAATGGACACACCAGGGCTAGAAGAACATTTGACCAAAAACAATTAAAAATAGGCCTGAGGGCTGCAGATTGGTCACTCACCTTTGGCTTGGTAGCCAGAGCTCCCTTAAATGTGATAGTTCTAAGAGTATAGGAATAACAAAACCTCACTGATGTCAAGTCTGTACCAACACATAGCCACCCTTCCTTGGCTTCCGAGTCTGTATAGCTTAATGAGAGGAGACCGCACACTTTTCTTTCACAGAGCAGCTGGTGGATAGGAGCCTCAAGAGATGTACTACTTTTGGTTAGCAGCACAACATACTATGTGCTATGCCTTGAGATCATCTTTGGATTATATGAATATTAACCATAGCATCGTGTTGTGAAATCTTTCTACACTGAGTCACAACATTATTAGTTGTGACATTATTAGGGCCCGAGTTGTCCTTATCAGGTGTGACTGAGTCAAGTACAACTCAGAGCGACCCTATGAACCACAGATCTGAACCCTGGCCTATCTGTACCATCCTCATCACTCTGACATGCTTGAACTCATTGCTACAGTCACTGTGTCAGTCCATCTTGTTAAAAGTCTTCCTCTCCTTTAACTTCACCCATTTTCTCTTAATTACTACTTTATTCTAAAAAAATAAAATGTGTGGGGTCCTGGTGTCACAATGAGTTAAATTTTGGATTGTTCACCAAGATTTGAACAAAGTGGTTCAAATCTACCAGCTGCTGCTCTGCAGGAGAGAGGAGACAGTCTGCACCTGTAACAATTGTCCTTGTTGAAGCTGTTGAGTTGACTGACTCACAGCAACCCTTTGAACAACAGCTCTGAACCTTGTCCCGCCCTGCACCATCCGCACAAGTTCTGTCAAGCTCAAGTCCATCATGGTGGTCACTGTGTCAATCTGTCTCATGGAGGGAGGGTCTTTTTCTCTTTTGCTAATCCTTTCTTTTTCCCAGCATGCTGTCTCTCTCTAAGGACCTTTTTCTCCTGAAAATATACCCAAAGTTAGTGAGATAAAGTTTCACCATCCTTGCCTCTAAGGAGCACTATGGGCCCGTTCTACTCTGTCCTGGCGGATCAATATGGATCAGAATCAACCCAGTAACAGGATCTCAAAAATTTACTGATATGGGGAGCTGTGATGCCTTAGTGGGTAAGGACTGCCAACCCAAGGGCAGGTGCTCTGAGGGAGAAAGATGAGTAATCTCCTTCTGTATGATTTAAAGCCTGTGAAAATATTTTGGAGGGTCAGCTATGAGTCAGTTCAAACTCAATGGCCCATAACAATAATTACAATTAGAATTGGCAAACAAGTTGAAACATCAGATCATTTGACAAATTGCTAGCTAGAAAAACACACTGTCTCTCCCATTGCTCTCAAGTCAGACCCAATTCATAGCTGACCCTCCAGTGGGTTTCCAAAGCTGTAAATGGCACAGGAGGAAATTGCCCGTCTTTCTCTTTTAGAGTCACTGGTGCATTCAAACTACCGGAGAGGCTTGTACTTAGAGTTAGCAGAGAAATTGGATAGACTAGGCTGCCAGAGATCCCCATAAAGAGTTGTTGTCTCTCCCAAGTTATGTAGTAGTAGTAGTAGTAGTAGTAGTAGTAGTAGTAGTAGTAGTAGTAGTAGTTGTTGTTATTGTTGATGATTGCCTTCAAGTAGAGCATGACTCATAGTGACCCTATGAACAAAAGGTCTGAAGACTTTCTATAACTATCGACATTTATCAAGGTTCATGGAGTTTCTGGAGGCATGTTGTTTAGGAAGTGGATGCCACTCCTGCAGTATTTTTCAAAACCATTGCTCCTGAGTGCACATAGTATTCCATTGCGTGAAAATACGACACGTTCTTAATCCATTCAGTTATGTTTGGACATTTGGGCTGTTTCCATGTTCTTTCAATGGTGAGTAAAACTAATGCAGTTGAGTAAACTAACTCAGTCTCATAAGGACACTGCATAAGATCATTATTGTAAAAATAGAAGAATAGCTATTTAAATATGTATGGGGACCCAAGGAGCTAAGGAATGGGAGCAGAGCAAAGGAATGGGAGTAGAGGGGTGAGGATGGGTAGGGGTGAAACCACAGGGTTGCACAGTCTGGTGGGTGGAGGGAGGGGGCGAAGGAAAGGGGAAGGATCTGGCAGGGACCAGAAAAGACAAGGTAATGATGGGCAAGGTCCAATAGCGAATAGTTTTATAAAACATAATGCATGGGAATGATTGTATGAAACACACTGTGAATGAAGAATAGTGTGAAACACAATGTACACAAACTTTGTAAGCAAATCAATAAAAAAAAGAACCCAACAAAGCAGTTGTTTCTATGTACCATTGAGTTGGAACTGACCCATAACTGACTCTCCAGTGGGCTTCCAGAGGCCATTAATCACACAAGAGTGCTTGCTTGTACCACGTGCACATGGACCCACATAATTCAGTGTCACTGTTGTTGGTAATAATGACAACTCTGATCATAGCACATTGTTGTTGTTAGGTGCCATCGAGTCGAATACAACCCATAGTGATCCTATGAACAACAGTTCTGAACCCTTCCCTATCCTGTGCCATCCCCACCATCTTTGATATACTTGAGCCCATTGCTTCAGTCACTGTTCCAATCCCTCTTGTTGAGGGTCTTCTCTTTCATCAACACTTCACATTACTAAGCATGATGCCCCTCTCCAGGGAATAGCCTCCCTCTCCTAGCAACATACCCAGCATATGAGATGAAACCTCACCATCCTTGCCTCCAAGGAGCATTCTGGCTGTACTTTTCCCAAGACATAGCTGTGCTCTTCTGGTAGACCATGGATATTCAGTACTCTTCTCCAACATCACAACTCAAAAGACGTCAATTCTTCTGCATCCTTACTCATTGTCCAGCTTTTAGATGCATAACATGTGATTGAAAGACTATGATCTGAATTAAGTGCACCTTAGTCTTCAAGCTAATATCATTGCATCTCTGCACTTTGGAGATGTCCCTGACAGGAGACTTGCCCAAAGCAATACATCTCCTGATCTCCTGACTGCTTGTACCAGAGGTGTTCATCATGAATCCAAGTAAAATGAAGTCATTGACAGTTTCAATCTTTTCTCCACCTATTCTGACACTGCCTATTGGTCCAGTGGTGAAAATTGTTGTCTTCTTGATATTGAGATGCAGTCCATATTGAAGGCTGTAGTTACAACATTCAAAGAGTAAATTAGCATCAAACTTCAGCCTTGTAGGTGTATTAAAACATGTAAGCTGGACTTAGAAAAATGTATTTCTTCTAATAAGCCAAAATCTACAGAGATATTTTAATTTTAAAAAAAAGAATAAATCTCTGCTGAAGCATTTTACAAAACTTTACAGACAACAATTGTTCTGTCCCTTCCTCTGGCTGTGTCACCTCGTGTAGTCCACACCTTCCCCATCCCCTTGTCACGGGTTCTGATTAAGAAGTTTACATAACTTTGCTCTGTTGACTCTGCTATATACATGGATATATTTACAGCATATACTATTATGAATGTAGAAATATCATCTGCAAACCCACTTTGCCTGTTCCTGTCTCGCCTGTCTGCCTAGATATCCACTTATGGGTGGTTTGTTATTGCTGATAATGCAGGATTGTGCACGTTAGTGTTTACCTTTGCCAATTGTATTCCTTGTGTGCCTTTTTGTATCTTCCCTTTCTTTACTGACACTGTGCTAATCATCCCCTTATATTAGATATTATTTTCCCCTTCACCCACCTTAATATGCATTATGTATGTGGTGAGTTTTAACTCCCCTCTCCTTCCCTTCCCATCCCTGGTAGGCATCCAAGAATGTTTCTTTCAGAGAGTAAACTTTCCTTTAGCTTTCTATATTAAGTCGATTCATATGGTTCTTTTGTGATAGACTTTCTTCACTTAATATCATGTCCTCTTGATTCC